TTCTCCTATGCAGGGCAACCAAAGAAGATCCAGCCAATCAGCTGGAATTTGGGAGGCAGAGAATAGATGGGGGCGGGGCCACTCAGAGGTGGTATTTGCCGGTTCTCTGAACTACTCAAAATTTCTACTACTGGTTCTCCAGAACTGGTCAGAACCTGCTGAATACCACCTCTGCATGTGACCAAAATCACAGAAGGCGTGCTTGACTATTTTCATAATTTATATATTTCTATACCTTATCTGTCACATGTCAGCTTCCTCTTATGTAACCAAGTGAAAGCAAAGAAATGTATAAATTCTGTATATGCCTCACACCGTGTTCAGGGTTCCTTCACCTTTAGGAGGACCCATCTTTATTCAGCTGAATAAATGTGTTTGGCTTATCAAGACAAACCCAGACTCAGTCTTTTATTTTTCTGCTGAGTCACACTTGGGAACCTGCATAACACCTGTTGTGTGATGGTGCCTTCTCGTTCTTACGTAACAGCCATGCTCAAATTTTAAGCTGAAAGCTAAGGGCCACTTTCCCCAGAAAAATAGTTAAACTGTGACAAAAATGAAATGTAGCACTGATTTACATTATCAACATTAATTATAATTAATGACCATATCCTTAATAATTTCCATTTTCTGTCATCCTATGGGTTTGATAACAATGTCTCTATATCTTTGGGGAAACAGACCCCAAGCTTTTTGGGATGTCTCAGCTTGTGCATTTTTGAACTGGAGTTGTGTTCTTATGTCTCAATTAGATGCCTCGAGAACCCTAGAGAAAAATACATTTTCGTATGATACCTTGACAGAATGGATCAACTAGCATATATAGTAGAGTTTACCACCATGTATAATTCACAGAGCCAATTGAATTAAACTGGATTGTGTCTTGTGATTATTTTCCTTTCATGAGGAGTTCACTCAATTAAAAAAGAAATCAGAGATGTAGACAGATTAGGTTTTTTTTAAAAAAGGTCAGGCCCACCAATTTTATCTAAAACAGTTAAGTAAGGTAAAGATTGTGGTAATACAATGGCAGGTAATTACTTTGCCAACCAAACAGGAAAGAAGGAAGCATATATGTTAATGAAAGTCAAGGGGGTGATCCTTATGTAATTAAAGTTCTGCGCTACTAACCGCTATAAAAAATAGTAATAATAAGGCAATCTGTTGACTGAAAAATGATGTACCTTGGCTGATCTGGGGCATTGATCTTGGAAGATTATGGAGCCAGATAGTAGGAATTAGTATAATGATTTTGATCCCAAGGACCCAACTGCAAATTTCAAGCAGGTCAGGAACTCTTGGAAACTCTTGCCTTACTTCCTTAGCGTGATTAGAACATTAAGTTGCATTCAGTGATGAAAGCAACAATAATTTCATTATTTACACTATAGATTTCAAAGTCTCTGAATTTTTAATTTTCCTCCCTTATGTTTGTATCATTCACATGTTGTGTTTTCTTTTAAAATGTTTTTAAAAGGAAAAAAAATACATTTTCATACACATTTCTTTCGAAGAACCTTATTTTGTATGTCACTACAAGTGTTTCTTTGTACAATGTCTTGTAATGACAGCAATATATTAGGAGTGCACATATAAAAGCCAAGAACGTATTATATGTGCATTTCTGTACATTATTTTGGATTTGCAAGATGGAAAAATTCAGGGGGTGGGAATGTAAATATTGAAGGGTAATTGCAGTTTGTTATTGCCTGGGAAATGCACATAAGGTAGGAGAAAGTAGTAAAAGCTTCATATGGCAAAGGAGAAATGTTCTATCTGTGCCCTCCACCATTTAAAATAGAGGCAGACAACCTTTGGATGACCTGAGACTGTGCAGGTAGTCCTTGCTGATCGATTGCCTTGCTTAGCAACCTTTGGAAGTTATGATAATAATTTTTTAAAAACCAGCTTCATAATCAATCCTCACATTTACATCTATTGCAGCATCTCACAGTCACATGATCACCATCCAGGTGATCACAATCCATCTCGCTTAACAACCACGGTGATTCATTTAATGACAAAAATTGGAAGTGATGTTTTAAGTCTGCGATGGTCATGTAATTTTTTTTTTGCTCAGCAACCATGGCATTTAGTGATGGAATTGCCAGTTCCAGTTCTGATTGGTAAGTGAGGACTAATGTGTGTCTTCGAGAGTTCAGGGCAGTGGTGGAAAAAATAACCAGAGAATTTTATGTGAGGCTGGTGAGGCTTTCACATGTTGTTGTTTCTTCTTCTTCTTCTTCTTCTTCTTCTTCTTCTTCTTCTTCTTCTT